CGTTCACCCCGTTATCATATAAAATATCGATGTTAGGCTCAGCCTACGTTTAACTTTTGCAAGCATTGGGGCTCAACTTTCAGTTAAAAAAATCATACAAGCCAACTACCACAATGTACATAATCAACGGGGAGAAAATGTTTACATACATGGGGATATTTCATAATCCAAGGTTAAAACAAAGTTCACTTACTGTCCGCTCTTCGTTTATGAGTAGATCAGAAAGATACAGCATGGATGAACTGCGGGAAGCGCTAATTCGAGATGGAATTTGGTGGAATTGGGAGTGTGGTGAATGATGGGAACTACAACTTGTCAGATCTGCGTGTAATTGGTAGTGAGAATCCTCTCAGCCAATTTCACACAGAAAGATAAGTGACACATTGAACGCTTTAAAACTAACTCATTCACAGGATTATAAGAGACACGACTAATAATGGTGAAACCGCGGGGTAAGACTTAAAAAATAACAGGAAAAATAACTGAGTAAGATGGGGGAAACACACTGAATAACGATAATGTATAACTACTAGATTAGTTCACTTTGAAGGGACTTCGGGAATCGGAATAAATGTGTCTTGTATTGTTCGTCTTCTTGTTCAAACGGGATCTATTTGTTGTTCGACTTTCAGATATCCGTTTGAAAAACAAACTTTTGATGTTCTGAACGAATTCTTCATTTGCTTACTTAATTGTTTTATTAGTAGTAAAACGTGAATTTCTGCAAAAAAGGTAGTCATGTTTGTCGATCTGTTCAATAACGTGGTATGTATGCATGCGTTGTTGATGAGCATATGTTTTGCCCAGTGTCATAAGCATTTATGAACTGTGGTTTTTATTTGTAACTCGCAGAAGGATGTACGGAGAAACTTATAAAAAAGAAGGAAGAGGGCGAAGGTGAAAAAGAATACGAGGGACAAATCACTGATTAGGAACTGCAACCTACAGACATGGAAGTTTGAACACCGAAAATTGTCTGATGTCCACTGCTGGTATTAAGTATTTACCTCAACAGTAGAGAAAAGTTTCATTAAACTGTGACCAGCTCCATCTTGTTAGAAAATATCGGAATGATCACGTCGCTGGGGGCTTGGATCATGTAACATGCTGAAGTTCTTTTCCATAGAGTGTAAATGAAGAAGTGATTTTCCCTGTGACGTCAATGTGGTATTAAAGTGCGAACGTAATCCGGGCTGTCAGAGTGGAGTGGACAGAGATGTGCGACAGGATATTCCTCAGCTCGTATTCTCGTAACTCGAGACTATACGAGGCTTGGCTGGTGAGAGACGACAGGGGGGGGGGAACGGCGGTAGGGTCTCGATGAAACACTGACAAACAGGTTCTCCGTGGGTCGGGCTTAAAGATAAACCTGCAAAGCAAAGCAAATAAAATGCGATGAACTGAAAAGGTTCAGTGAGGTACAAGCATTCACTATTCTTGGCGCGGTTATTAAACGTTCCAGCATGCATGTTACTGTGAAATGTGTTGGATGCACCAGCCAACCATTTCACCTACTTCACTGGGATCCAATTGGTGGCGGACGAACGGGCTTTTTCATCGTTGTTCAAGCTTGCTTCGGAGGAATATAACACGATTCAATACTTATCTCCCGCTTCACAGGACAGTGATCGTTTTGTACAGACAAAGGTCAGAACAATAGTGAATTACCTGTCTGATGAAGTGTGACAAGATACGAACGATTTGGCTATCCATACAGTATTTTAATCATATTATTTTTTGGAAGCATAGTTTTCCTGTAACGAATTTGAATAAAGAAGCCAAAACCAAAGGTTTGCACAAACCTGTGCAAACCTGTGGTTTTGGGCTTCTTTATTCAAACATGTTATTTTTGTCCAATAGTACGACAATTGAAGTGAATGATTATTGTCGGGGTCAGTACTATTCTGAACGAGTTCAGTACCTATTTTTGCATCTGTCACACAGTTCAGCTGTTTAAAAACAGTACACTTTCTTACCTCTCGGTTTTCAGCTCCTGTGGAAACGGCTCAGCACAAANGGCTCAGCACAAATGATTACCTGATTCACGACAATCGTCGACTGCATTCGGACACTCGTTACATTTTAGACATGTCCTCGTTTGACCAAACAATCATGGATTTACGCATCGACAATGTGCAGCGCAAAGATGAGGGAGAGTACTTGTGTCTCTACTCGACCGGGCAGAATGTGTACAAACGGCGAATCGAGCTGATTGTGTTAGGTATGTGTATTGTTGTTGTTCTTGTTGTTTGATCTGTTAGTCAAAACACATTTAGGTCAAGTGGAAAAACGAGAATTACATTCAGTGACATGACAACTGATTTTATCCATCAAGTACCCTTAGATCGAGACAGTAGATTTGCTCCAGTTACTGTTAATATAATTGATAACACATCTGTCTTGTTTACGGCCGCAAGTGGAACAATTTAGATGTGCAATTGCACTGAGAATTTCTTCGTGCAATCATGAACATTCGTGTAGCATAATGAGCCCGAAGGATTTTGTGCTTCGTCTTATGCCTGCTACTTAGTCGATTTCTCCGACCTGGAGTACAAATAGTGCTCGTTGGAATGAGAGAAATTTACATCTTTCTGACTTTGCACTGTCTGACTTTCTAATCTGCGCGATAGTTTTTCCATCTGCCGTCTCGCTGTTTTTACGATTCACTTGAACTTATTGCACACTTTGTTAGAGAAATTCCCTAAACAAGTGTGGTTTGTGCGATGCTAGATTTTATAAACATGTTCCAATAGGATACCATTGGCATCCGTGAAAATGATCAGTATACAATTAGTATTGAACAAATCCACATAGATGGCGTAGTTTGGTATTTGAGTGAGATGGCCCAACTGAATTCCAAGGCCGTGCCCATTGAAATTAGTATGAAGAGTTCGGGTAATATCTTATGGCTTGGACGTCTCTATCCTTATTCTCTCGATCATGCTATTGATCAACACTGAGATCCACAGTTATAACTGTATGCCCCTGATTATGAAGAACACAAGCCACTCAACTGGAACGGGCTGACTGTGGTTGTGTCAGCACGCTTTACACGGTCAGTGGCTGAAATATAGATCAATTATTATTAGGCTAGTCAATACTGACGTTTGTTCATCAAAATTGATTCATCCGATGTGCTATATATGTGCCTGTTTGTTTTAAGTCAGCGACTGAGAAAATTAGACGAAATGTTAACATCTGGCGACATTTGTCTTCTTTCTGTTTTGATAAAGTTCAATGGGAAAAAGATGTAGTCGATTGATCTGAAAATAAAACAACTGAAGTCACTGAAAAATGTCCATTTACTGTGCGGATACACATCCTCCTCGCTGTATTACAGAAAATAAAAGTGGGCAAACAGACGACAATCGATGAGCATGCAACACCGGTTTACGTGTCTTGTGTAGTCATTTCATTGTGCGTTTGCATGTGTTTTCACGCGTATTGCATGTTTCTCCAGTCTTCGTTCCATAATCGGTCTACCCATTCATTTGTCCATCCACGCCTGTTGCCAACCAGTCCCTCCGATCATCTACGAGAACAGTTCCAGTCCTATCCGAGTGGTCGTGCAAGAGGGTGACACGACTGTGTTGCACTGTAAAGCTTGGGGTGTTCCGCTACCTACTCTGACCTGGCATTCCATACCGCAAGATGGTCCGCCTCGTCCCATCAGCCAAACAATGGACTCGAGTAAGTCCCACCTTGCGTGGCTCTGGTCACCATGTAAGATGTGTTTTGAAAATGGCTGAGTTGAAATAGCATGTGTACTGGACAGTTTTACCTGGAACGAATTTCTTAGTCCAACCAATGGACCAGTCGGTAAGAAAGGTCTTTATACGATGAATTCGTTGTGTAAATGAGGCGTGAACTGAAAAGCTGTGAAGCCCTGGATAGATTTTTTGACCTGGTTAGATCTCGTCAACAGTGGGCGAATCCATCGACCCAACTGAGGATTACAAACCCGGGACCTCACAGGTAGAACGTACCCACTCGGACACCCCGGAGCAAATGATCAGACCGTTTTTCATCTTCTATTTACACGATATAGCATAACCCATCTTTGCGAGCTAGGCGCGGCTATCACGCCTCGCTAATCTCAGCGCTAGCCTCCGGGGTTATGACTCGGTTGGAAACTTTCACAACCTGGTTAATTGTTGCATGTAACTGGCCCTGTAAACAAATGCAACATAACAAGTACTGATGTTCATTTTCGTCGAATCATCTTGCGTTTTCTACTGTCCGCACATTAGTCACTAATTGTTTGATCCAGAAGTTTCTTAAGCGCGAGCATGTAAAAATAACTGCCCACCCTAGTGTTATTTGGGGGTGTTCTTTATGCCGTAATGCTTCTTCCGATAACAGGCATCCGCTTCTAGTCTCCACCTCTTTATCAAACTAAATGACTGTGTTCTGCTTCGTTCAGTTCTACCGGTTATTGAACCAGAGTGGGCTAGATACAGCTAAGGAATAACTGGTTGTGGTTGCTAAGCCTTTGATTGATGAAAAACTGCCCAATCTCAAAAACTCACCTCAGTAACTTCGACTCCAGCCTCATAACAAATCTTACTATTAGAATAAGCTAGTGACACACAGAATGAAAAGTGCATTACTCACGGTAGGCACTCAATAAGCAATGTGTGGGGAAATCGGTTCAACTTTACCTTGGCTATATCCTCTACCGTGAACAGTGCATCATCCTTTGTGTTTAGCTTAGCTGTCTGGCAAAAAACGACCAACTACTTAGCATCGACGTAAATGAGTGCGCTCAACAGGGATTTAAGACTGAGATCTACTTCATTTCAACACACATAAAAAAGACAGAGGGGTGAAAGAAAACATACGATTACGGGACCAATACTGTGCTCTAAACGAAATTGGATTCTGCCATAGTGTCTCATTCTCAAACCCATATAGATTTCCAACTCCAAATGATAGATTTTAGCGGATCTCGCATCACAATTACATCCTCGTTTACTCGCCAGTACCTCAACTGTACACGTGATATCAATTGCAAATTTTGTGCTCTCCCACCCCGCTTCATCCACCCACCCCGCCACCGCGGCCGCGCGAATTTACAGGATTCAAAATGGAACCGAATCAACTCACCATCACCAATGTGACCAGAAATTTGCATGGACTGTACAAATGTTTCGCCACGAATGGATTACAACAAACTGCCGCTCGTGTGATTGAACTGGATGTGCAATGTGAGTGAGTGTTGGCCGGTTTCCTGAATACATAAATACACGTATCAGGGATGTGGGTGGGTGGGTGGGGAGAAATCGAGAGAACGAGAAGGAGAAACGATGAATCTAAGCAATGCATATTATACTAAACAAAGGATGATATTATAAATTCAGATGGTTTCTAAGACTAACAAATGTGTGTGAAATAATTCATTCGATTGTGAAGTGGCCACTTCACAAGCACTGATGATATCACCTAGGCTGGTGATGAAACGTTTGCAATCAAATTGCCAACTGCTTTGTGAATAGGCGAAATGGAAGTGTTATGGTCTTGGATGTGGATTTCACCCCCTGGGAGATTGTAAACTCTCTACCAGTTGAATGCATTTATAAGCCATGGGAATACAACGAGCGCACTGGACAGCTGTTTCGTTCTGTGTTTTGGGACTTTTCAGTAGTGTATACTTTTTGTTTCCCCGTCAGGACTAGAACCGCGAACATTTGGGTCGGAACTTCAAGCCCTTACCTTTACCACTACAACTAGTGAGGAATTAACAATCTCCTATGGGATGAAACCCACACTCAAGCCCAGCAACAGTGTCTGGTGCCTGTGAACAATCGAATAGATTATTCCGAATTTTCCGCTCTTAATTGCTTAAACCATTCGCATCACAATGTGATGACCGTCGAACGTGTAGCCTAGGGGTAAGGGTTTAAAGTCCCGACCCGAATGTTCGCAATTCGAGTCCAGACAGGGACACTAAAGGTGTGCACTTCTGACGAGTTCCCCAAACAGGACGAAACAGCTGTCCAGTGAGCTCATTGTGTCGGTCATCACAAATCTTCCCATCGGTTATAAACACAATCAGATAGTGTCCTTACGCTCATCACCCATACACATGATCAGCTATGCAAGTGAATATGGTCAGTTTAGTTTCATTTCGGGTTTCCCCAAAGTGGGTTAGCGCTGATCCGTCTTAGATCTCTTTGCTGATGAGGGAGGGTCTGGCCACCACTGTGTGACATAAAACAGTTTAGGGAGGGGTGAATTAGCCTGATTTCATATTGTATCAAGTTCTTCTAGGCCCGACTATAGAATAATGCGCAAAACGGAGCTAAGTTTAAAGTACAATGATGTCCGCATTGTGAAAATACAACAGGATCATCACACACCGAGAGAATTTGAATGGATCAATATGGACAGAGAACAACTATTGTGAGATGTTAAAACGGAATAGTTACTCATGATTGGTGTATTAAGCGATCCAGGGACTTGATTGTTTCCAATGGTTCCCGCGAAATATGCAAACACCGTGTCGAGCATTCTCTCAAGGATGACAATGAACGAATATCAAGGAAGTGGAGTTTATTGTTTTGTCTATTTACCGTAGATCCAGTCACCCATAAGGAGGTCCACCGCCTTCTTAAAATTACAAAAATCACAAGTACTGTTAACCCCGATAGTCCATCTTCTTTGATGCTCACATATGGCGTTGATTCACTCATGGAGATGTTCGCATCCTTCATTAACAAACGCATTTCTACATATTAATTTCCGGATTCCTGGAGACACTGTTCACCATTGTACCCCTTTTTTTAAACCATCTTCATCTACCATTTTATCTAAATGCTTTCGTTCTATAGCCATCACTTCCTCTGGACGTAAGCTAGCAGAGAGCGTTATTTTCACCAGATTCAGGTTTGGTATCAACGTTCCCCATGATCTGCGTATAAGCCAAATAGGTGTTGTCTCTTCACGGATTCACTTTATTTACGAAACTTTAGATGCTTCCCAAAAATCTGTGCGCTGCGTTTTTCTTGATTATTATTCCGGTTTCGATTCCGTTCCATGATCTCTTCTTCTCTGACCTTTACAGTCATTTGGTTGCTCCACCAATTTATTGTCGTTCATGAAAGACTATTTCACAGGAAGTATTCCAAGAACGAATGTAACCAGCACTACTTTCAAATCGTTGGTGCATAATTCTGGAATCTTTCAGAGTACTGTGGCCAGTACCCACTTATTTCTAACATTCCTCAGGGACGTACACTCTATCCCGCCAACCATGACCTTTAACTATGCTGATGATGTGATCTTATGTCAGGCTATCTCGAACCAATCTGACACGAATTTTCATGCAACCAATTCCCCTCAACATTTTCATGAGAGTAAGAAGAAGCATCATGATCACAGGGTGTGCTTAACTCGACTATCTTCAGCTGTGTACATACATTCTGATCACNAACATTTTCTAGAAGAGGGAAGCGACCAATCAAGGGCTGCCATATAACACACATTGTCGGAAAAGTTAGGCGGTAGTGATGGCAGTGATGTGATTCGACACGTCCTCCGGAGTGATAATTGGGTGACTTTGCTACCGGGAGGCCACCGGATGATCTTGCGCGGTGAACGGCAAAAAGAATGGATTTCATAGTCACAAACAGTCATAATAATTATTAACCCAACCCACAGAACCACACAATGTCTTCATTGGTTCGGTAGTGGTAGGGAATAGGATAACATTGAGGTTATCAACCACCGAAATTGGGTGCCAGCGGTACGGTTCAAATCTTGATTCTTAGGTCATAAAGAAGACGCCAAGAGAACAACCCCCTCGACAATATATGGAAATTTAGAGCTTTTTGACCTTTATCAAAGCGAATTTTGCTACATGATTTACTCCTTGTTTATATCGTAACCTCCGCAAGAGAGCAGTAAGCGAAAAGCAGTGATTTCCCTTCTAATGTGCATGAAGTTTCGCTACAGTTGAGCACTGACAAGTTCAAGTAATCTATAACTATAAGTTGGACGGGATCTGAACCCAATCGCGGTCATCTCCTACCGGGGTGCATCTCACAAGCTAAGTTGTCGGATCATTCAAACTGTTCGAAGGATTTTTCAGTATTTGTCTTTTCACACTACAGTTGGTGTTTCTTAAGCTATCGCAAAACATAAACAAACTGTAGCAGAAAACATCATCCCTCTATTTTAGAGGCAAAGTCTACGTGAATTATTCGGCAGACTAATTGGAAAAATGGAAAACAATGACTTCGTTGCTCAATGCAACGTAACAGTTATTATGTTATTCTCTTCCCCTGAATTGAACATCAAAGACGAAGATTTGAACTGCAGTCCATCCAAACCTTCCCATAGTCTGGGAACTTGTCCTGAAAAGTACTTGAGTATTTACAGGTGTTTCAACAGACCTTTTCTAATGGGTAGTGTGATTGACGGCAGAAACATCAATCAACGTATAACGGTCTCGCCTGAACTAGAAAATATCTGGTTTGGCAGAGTAAATTTCTTCGTGTATTCAGCGTAATTTGTTAAAACATCAATCGATTTTCCACGTTATTCCGATCCTTCGATCCGCCATTTTGATCCCCGGGGCTCTCTCTCTCACAACTGTCTGGCACAGTTCCACCAACGATCAAGATGGCCAATCAAAAAATTGGACAATCAATTCATCGAACCACAATGGTCCGTGCAGTGATCAGAGGCAATCCAATCAATGCATTCTACTGGGAATTTGAGAGACGTCCGATACACGGTCCGAACAGCAATTGTTTGATTCCCATGCCAAATGAAAAATATTGTGTTTCAGTGGGTGAGTTGATCGAATTTGTTGGATTCTGTTGGCACATTCTCGTTGATTGTACGTGCGTTCACCTATCACACTCACCAAATCAGATATGCTCGACTGGGAAATGATGCGAGCAATTTCTGTTTTATATTTAGACTACTTATGTTTAGTAAGTAGCCGAAAAGAGAAGTGCGATTTCTTCATGGTAGTCCACATGTTTCATGGTGGAAGTCTCTATCTCAATTCTTTTCCTTCCCTTTCCAAATCATTACTTCCAAACAATCAGACAAGGTCAGTTCGGTGAATAAAGAAGTTAAGACAACACTTTTTATAGCAAATCTAACAAGTGAAGATTACGGTGCATATACGTGTGTCGTGGAAACGCCTTTCGGAATTTTTCGGAACAGTACAGAGGTTTTCCGTGAGTTACTTTATGAATGTGCGCATGTGTTTCGTCTGATTTGAATTTCATCGTGGGGATGATCTCATGAAAACAAAATGTTCATCATTTTTTGCACGTTTTGGGTTCGATTTCTTAAATATTTCATTATCATTAGTATTTATAATGATGGTTTCATTTACACGAGCAATTTTCAGTTGAACTTACACTGAATTAACACTACACTCCAGTTTCATTCTCACTAGCACATATAATTGGTGCATATAAATATGTGTCCATCTGTATTGTGAACGAGGAACTCGTTGGATGGAGGTTGTGCGCATCAAGATTGACGGCATGATCTTGTTCAGTCATGGGTTCCCTGTCTCGGAAGCACTGAATTCGCTCTCAACTGATAAAGTATCATATTCTCCTACATCCAGATGATTTCCGTGAGTATAATTCATGCTTAAATTCCATGAACCCAGAGTAATAGAAGACAGATTGTCGTAACGAAAATTCGTTTATTTACCCTCATAGATCACAAAATGTATAAAATCCGGTCAATCAATAAACACAGAAAAAGTGGCCAGTAATTTCGATGCTGTCCGCATGTTTAAATTTATCCGGATATTATCTGTGCTCACATTTCGGTTTCAGTGCTCACTCGAACAACCAAAACGCGTGTAGCAAAACATATTGTTGGGGGAAAATAAATAAAAGAGCGATGCATCGATCTACATAGGCAATTAGGCGGTATTCCATCGAATTACATAGTTAAGTTTCAACTCTGTTATCTTGATCGATCGATCGATTAATCTACCTTTATCCCCTTATAAAGTTCAAATGAGGAAAGTGAATCAATTCACCAAAATAGAGACATTTTTACCTAATTTCTTGTGGACAATTGCATCAGAATTGTTTTACTTCCAAGTGATTCCTATTAGATTGAAATTGGTTGTCGTTTATCTCGTTGCACTGGTAACTGATGTGACTGGGTACTTTGACTAATCAGGGTCTGATTTTAAGAGAACTCAGTGATTTTTCGATCGAAATCTCACAACTC